CTATTTTATACACACACACACACACACACACACATAAATTATTTATTCGTGAGAGACAGAGAGAGAGGCAGAGGCAGAAGGAGAAGCAGGCTCCCCGCAGAGCAGGGAGCCTGATGCGGGACTCCATCCCAGGACCCCGGGACCATGACCCAAGCCGAAGGCAGATGCTCAACTGACTGGGCCACCCAGGCGCTCCTATTTTTTATATTTTTATGGGACTTGAACTCACAATCTTGAGATCAAGAGTCACATGCTCTACAGACTGAGCCCACTAGGCACCCCACTATTTTTTGTGTTTTGATGAATCATCATACTGTTTTCAATCCATAGCTGTGTCATTTTATATTCCCACCAGCAATGCACAGGGGTTCTAATGTCTCTACATCTGCACCAACATTTATTATTTTCTGCTTTTTGACAATAGGCATCTTAGTGGGTGTGAAGTGCATCCAAATTTTCTAAAAGAAACTTTTTGTTAGGGAAATTTCCCAACATATAAAAAAAATAAGAGCGAATGCCAGTTGAACTGCTGTGTCTCTCTCCTCACTTCAGTAGTTAGGAACACTTGGCCAGTCTTAGTTCAGTTAGTCTGACCTTCCTACCCCGTTATTGGAACATGAATCCCAGTCTTCATATGTTTTTTTTCCCCTATTGTTAAAAGCAGAAAATAAACATAAAATTTTTCTAACAAGATTTATTTATTTCTTAGAATGTGAGAGCAGGGAGAGGGGCAGAGGGAGAGGGAGAGAGAATCCTCAAGCAGACTCCCCGCTGAGCACAGAGCCCAACACAGGGCTTGATCCTGGGATCCTGAGATCATGACCTGAGCCAAAATGAAGAGTCAATCACTCAACCAACTGGTTCACCCAGGTGCCCCTATAAACATAAAATTTTAATGTTATGAATATTATTGTAAATTTTACTTGCATCATTGTTCTGCCTTTCATTCAGTGATCATAATTCTTTTTTTTTTTTCCCTGAAGTAATCTCTACACCCAACATGGGGCTCAAATTCACCATCCCAAGATCAAGAGTCAGATGCTCGTCAATCAGAGAAAGACAATCATCATGTGGTTTCACTCATATATGGAATAGAAGAAGTAGCACAGGGGACCACAAGGGAGGGGAGGGAAACTGGGAAGAAATTAGAGAGGGAGACAAACCATGAGAGACTCTTGACTCTGGGAAACAGAGGGTTGTAGAAGGTGATGTGGTTGGGGGGAATGGGGTAACTGGGTGATGGGCATTAAGGAGGGCATGTGATATGATGAGCACTGAGTGTTATATGCACCTAATAATCAATGAACACTACATCAAAAACTAATGATGTACTGTGTGTTGGCTAATTGAATTAAAAAAAATAAAAAGTCGGATGCCCTACCGACTGAGCCAGCCAGGTGCCCCAGTGATTGTAATTCTTTTGTCATTATTAACAGATATCTTTTCAGCATCATTCTTGCTCTCATATAATGCAGATATAGATGTACTTTACATATACCCTTCATCTGCCCTTGCCTTCTTGCTTGTTTAAAAATTTATTCATGGGGTACCCCTGGGTGGCTTAGTCGGTTAAGCGTCTGCCTTCAGCTCAGGTCATGATCCCAGGGTCTTGAGATCAAGTACCGCATCGGGCTCCTTGATTAGCTGGGAGCCTGCTTCTCCTTCTGCCTGCTCTGCCTGCCACTCCCCCTGCTTGTGCTCTCTCTCTCTCTGTCAAATAAATAAATAAAATCTTTATTTTATATTTATAATTATTTATATATAAATATTTATAAATTAAAAAAATAAATATTTATAAATAAATATTTACTTATTTGACAGAGACACAGCAAGAGAGGGGACACAAGCAGGGAGAGTGGGAGAGGGAGAAGCAGGGAGCCCGACATGGGGCTTGGTCCCAGGACCCTGGGATCATGACCTGAGCCGAAGGCAGACGCTTGACGACTGAGCCACCCAGGCGCCCCAATAAATAAAATCTTTTAAAAAAATATTTTCATGGGTAAAATGAAAAAATACACAGTAGCTGTGATCACAAGTTGCTGTCATTTGTACACTCAACTGTGACAGCACATCAGTAACTGTTGAAAGAAGTCATATTAGAATGGAAGACTGAAACAATATTATTATAGACATAACCTTGGATCAGCTCTAATCTCTTTAAAAAAAGATATACTTTCATTCAAGTGTACCTCAGTATATTGTATACCTCAAAGTTAAGGACTCCTTTTTTAAAAAAAGCATAACCATAAAACCATATGATACCTAAAAATAAACCCTTTTATCATCAGATATCCAGATAGTATCACCCATATCTCTATGCCCAGTTTCTTTTATTTTTTATTTTTTAAAGATTATTTGAGGGAGAGAGAGAGACACAGAACACAAGCAGGGGGAGAGGCAGAGGAAGAGGGAGAAGCAGACCCCCGCCGAGCCGGGACCCCAATGGGGCTCGATCCCAGAACCTGGAGATCATGACCTGAGCCGAAGGCAGACGCCCAACCATCTGAGCCACCCGGGCGCCCCCCCTCCCCCCAGTTTCTTTTAATTCAGTGGTACAGGAAATGAAAAGTTGACAAATCACTCAAAGATGACAATTTACACTGGTAACCAGGATATAGTACTTTTGGGTGTATTACAGTTTTTAGTTTGTTAACTCTGTGAGCAAGACGTCTACTTTCCTTAAACCATTAATACTCTTTTCTTCTTTCTGATATTTGTTGGCATTTGTATATACCATAAACAGTACAGTAGGCCACTTCCTTTAATAAATAAGGTGAGCCTTGTTCTGGGGTTACCTTCTGTTTGATTTATGTTGATGTGTTTATTTAAACTTACCAGTTTTAAGAGTTCTAGAAGATACACATAAAGGCAGGACACAAGATGAAATTTTATCTACAAATTTATATATCTGATAGAATTTACTGGTAGGGATGTTTACATTTTCGCTTTTTTGGTGGTGGGGGATGGTAATTGTGCATTTGCAACTATGCCTTTCCTATTTTTTTATTTTAAGATTTTATTTATTTATTTATTTATTTGAGAGAGAGAGATTGAAAGAACAAGTGTGAGAAGGGGCAGAGGGAGAACCAGACTCCCTGTGGAGCAGGGAGCCCGACATGGGACTCGATCCCAGGACCCTGGGATCATGACCTGAGCTGAAGGCAGACACTTAACCAACTGAGCCACCCAGGCGCCCAGAACACACAATTACTAACTCCTTTCCCTCCTTTAGTTTTCTTAATTTGTGCAGAAGACTGCAGTGTGCAGTATATGCTACGGCACTTTATAATGTCAGAAAGACATCTTGTTCAAGATACACACACAAAAAAACACCCTATGATTTAAGATTCTATCAGTATTCAGGTGTAAGAATGCAAGTCTGTTGTCAGGCACAGATTAAATGAGTTAAGGGCAGAGCTGGTTCTTTCCCTATGGCTCTTTATATTTCTTTGTACTATTTTACTAATTAACAATTTTCTTTTACTTGAAGATAGCTTATATGCTTTTGGGTAAATAACCTCAGTAGTTAAGAGCACAGAAGCTTCAGAGTGATAATGACACTAAACTTATTTCCCATTCTCTTTGCCTTGTGATAGTAGTAGTGGTTGTAATATAGGTAGTTATATAATGACCCTGTATAGCATATGCAATGTGTTAGGCAAAAACTAAGTGCTTTACATGTACTAACTCACTTAATCCACAGAACAACCCCATGAGATAGATACTATTATCCTCATTTTACTGATGAGGGATTGAGGCAGAGAGAGGTTAGTAACTGACTACTCCATAAGTACAAACAACCGGTAAGCAGCAGAGCTAGGAATTGATCTGAGCAGCCTGGCGCCAGTGTCCTTCCTCCCAACCATTATACTGTACTGTACTTAATCGACACTCATGTAAGTAAAGGGAAATGTGAGATAAAAAATGCTTTTAACATCTTTGTGGGCTCTATGGAACTTATTATTTGTTCATTCAGTGCTCCCTGTAGAATCAGTGATTACAGAGAGAACATTTAATCTCAAAGCATTCATCCCTATTTTCAAACTAGTATTTTCAGATCTGTTCTCCATCTGAGACCTTGCATTTAGAAAAAGTACATTTGAACTTTTTAGTTGAATTGGCAGATCAAGAGCTTACAGACAGGATATTGCCTTTGAGTATTTAGACTGTATGTGCTGACCCCCTGAAGCAGTAATTTGGTTAGATCACAATGTTTCCATTAGAGTACAGCAGTATTAGGGGTTCTAACTTCAAAGTGTGTATGTGTGTGTTTTATATGTATCTTTGTAAATAGGCCACTTCTTTACAAATGGAACCAAGATTCTAAAAATCTTTCAGAGCCATTTAAATCCAAGAAATACCTAAGCATTTGAAGTAGAACTATGAACAATGCAAAATGTTACCTTTCTGGAGACTTGTGATAAGTAAAATAAATAAAACAACCTGCCCATTTTTAAATGCTTAAAGAACCTAAAGAACCTCCAGTTAATTTTGCAGAATTAGTTCTCACTTGAGCATTGATTTACATACACTTTTTATCTTTTTTTTTAAGATTTTATTTATTTATTTGAGAGAGAGAGAATGAGAAATAGAGAGCACGAGAGGGAAGAGGGTCAGAGGGAGAAGCAGACTCCCCGCTGAGCAGGGAGCCCGATGCGGACTTGATCCCGGGACTCCAGGATCCTGAGCTGAGCCGAAGGCAGTCGCTTAACCAACTGAGCCACCCAGACGCCCAACATACACTTTTTATCTTGAAGTCTAAGCTAATAGCCATTATTTGATAAGAAAACCAGTGTTCTGTTTTCTTCTACTTCCTTTGTCTTAGGTTTTTGTGGGTCTGCTGTGCTCTGAACACATATGCTTAGAACACATCTACTCTAAAAAAAAAAAAAAGAACACATCTATTCTGGTGCTTTGGGTCAATCACATGTTTGGCTGGAGGGCAAGTGTGCCTTTTATGGAGGCAGGTGACTTTCTCATGCTAATTTTCTTTCCCCTAGGTTTATGAAGGCCTGGACATCATCACCAACAAGGTTTCTGCCCAAGAGCAGAGAATATGCCAGCATCACATGATCAGCTTTGTGGATCCTCTCGTGACAAATTACACAGTTGTGGACTTCAGGAACAAGGCAACTGCTCTGATATCCTTAGGAAAGACAGTGACTAGGCTTGGTGGGTATAAGGCAGCCCAAGCCAAGAAAGAAGTTTTTGTTTCAGTGACAATTTCTTCTAAGCAGGGGCACCCAAGACTTAGCAACCAATAGGTAGCACCCCCATCAGAACTATATGGATCAAAAGATACAGTGCCCTTGCTTCTCAGAGTCTTGTCAGACTGCAGCATCAGCCATCCCTTGGGCGCTTATTAGAATCGCTGAATTTGGGCCTCACTCCAGAACTACTGAATCAGAATCTACATTTCACAAGAGTCCCAGGTGATTCATATGCATATTAAAATTTGAGAAACTGTTTTAGTGGAGAGAACACTGATTTAGGAACTAGAAAATCTGTGTTCTAGTCCCAGAACTGCCTCTTTGGACCAAGTGAATTTTATTGGGTAGAGCATTTACCCAACTCAGCTTCAGTTTCCCACCCTTTAAATGGGGATACAAAATCAATTTATAAATATGGAGTTAGAGTTTAATAGGGATTGTTGGGTGAGGGAGGACTGCAAAAACAATAATTTTTTTTTCTGTGATCAGCGATCTCTGATTAATTAAGTAGGCTCTACGCCCAGCATGGAGCCCAACATGGGGCTTAAACTCACAATCCTGAAATCAAGACCTGAGCTGAGATCAAGTCAGACGCTTAACTGACTGAGCCACCCAGGTGCCCCTTGTTTATTTTTTAAAATTTTAATTCTAGTATAGTCAACATATAGTGTTATATTAGTTTCAACACCAGTACATTTTGAAAAAAGAATAATATAAGGGGGACTGTCCTTATATTTTAATTGTCCAGACTTCCAGATGGGGTGCTTGGCTGGCTCAGTGGATTGAGCATGCAACTCTTGATCTCCGGGTTGTGAGTTCAAGCCTCATGTTGGGTATAGAGATTGCTTTAAAAAATTTGGACTGCCAGATAATAAAATGTAAGGAAAATTCATAATAATTATCATAGTATGGAACTTATACCAGACAAATTTATGACACAATAGAAAACTCAGATACAAATTAAAATGGATGTATATATTTACCTTATGATCAAGGTGGCATTTAAAACAATAGAGAAATAATGCCATAGTTAATATTCTTGGGACAGCTAATTTGTTTGGAAAAAAATAAAATCATGACCTCATTATGTATGACATAAATTGCAGATGGATTTCAGAGTTAAATACATATATTTTGAAAACTAAGACAAATGGGATAATATATGATTGAGTAGTTATGTGATTTTAGAGTAGGGAAGGACTTTGTAGATACATAGTTTCTAAAAAAGTTATCTTAATGGATTTTTGAAACTCAAATTTTTCCTTTATTTTACTGTGTTAAATACACACAAAATTTACCACTTAACCATTTTTTAAGTGTACAGTTCAGTTGTATCAAATACATTCATTTTGTGGTGCAACCATCACCACCATCCATCCCCATAACCTTCTGATTTGTATTTGTTTTTAAAGATTTATTTATCTGAGAGAGAGTGAGAGCACGAGTGGGAGGGGCAGAGGGAGAGGGAGAGAGAATCCCAAACAGACTCCATGTACTCTAGGGGGCTTCATCCCAGGACCCTGAGATCATGACCTAAGCTGAAAACCAAGAGTCAGATGCTCAACTGACTGTACACCTAGGCACCCCCCCCTTTTTTTAAGGAAAGTAGCTAGCTTTGAGTATGTACGAATTAAGAATTTGTGTCAGCAAGAATGTATATCAACCAGAACTAGGTATCCACCCTAGAGTAAGCTTGCCACACGTATGAGATAGGTGGTAGATCTCATTCATAGCGGCATTGCTCTTAATGGCAAAAACATAAATACCTGAATTCTTACTTACAGGAGAATGTATAAAATTTGCTTTGTTCATAGAAGTACTTTTTCCGCAGTGAAAATGAATAAATTGTAGGTACATGCAGCAATGTAGAAGAATCTCAGAAACAATGTAAAATGTGAGAAATTATAGACATTCATACTATACCCATTCATGCCATTTATTATAAAAGTTAAAAAGCAAGCAAAACTAATCAATATATTTTTTAGGGGGTTACATATACCTAAGGAATAAGGTAAAGGAAAGCAAGGGAATGATAACAAGAAAAACCAAACAATTCAGGATAGCAAATCTCAGGTTTCCCCACAGAGTGGGGAAGTAGGGGGTTGGGATGGGAATGAATACACAGGAAGCTTCAAAAGAATTGGTAACACTCCTTTTCTTACATTGGCTTCATGAGTATATGTTTATTATAAGGCTTCATAATTTATGTATGTTCTTTTGTATGTATTGAATATTTTATAATTTTAAAAAATTAGCCCACTATAAACAAAATTAAAAAACGCACTGCAAGCCAGAGGAGAAAAAATATTTGTAACATAGGAAGGGCAGATGGTTAATATCCTTAATATATAAAGAACTCATATGAATCAATATGAAAAATACTTAAAGGGCCTGAGTAGTAATTCACAAAGGAAGAAATCTAAATGATGGTAAACATGAAGAAGGGTTTACCCTTGCTGTTAAGGCCATACAAATCAAAATAATGAAATCATATTTTTTTGCCTATCAGATAGGCAGAGATTAAAATGCAGATAATTGGGGCGCCTGGGTGGCTCAGGTGTTAAGCGTCTGCCTTCGGCTCAGGACATGATCCCGGGGTCCCGGGATCGAGCCCCGCATCGGGCTCCCCGCTCAGCGGGAAGCCTGCTTCTCCCTCTCCCGCTCCCCCTGCTTGTGTTCCCTCTCTCGCTGTGTCTCTCTCTGTCAAATAAATAAAGTCTTTTAAAAAAAAATAAAATGCAGATAATTCTTATCCTACCTGCTTTACGAGACAGTTGTATCAGATGAGATAATATATATGAAAGCCCTTGGCAAATTAGAACATACCACCAAATGTATGTTGTTGCTTTAAGACAGTTTGGTTGCTCAGAAAAAGCTGATAGAAAATAGAGTTTTCAGAGGGCAGTAGGGATGACTTAATCACATCATTTACAGGATTAGAGATTTCTGAGTTTAGGTATGAACCCAAAATCAGAATGTCAGAACTGAAAGTACCTTAAGAAGTATCCAGTTAACCTTCTTGATTTGACAGGCTAAGTAAGGTATTAGATAACAGAGGCCCAGAGAGAAGGGTTTTGCCCAGGATCACAGTTGTTTCATGACTTGGGCAAACAAGTTAAACCTTTTCCCACCAAGTATCTCCTATCCCATCTCCTTCCCTCTTTTCCACTCTCTCTCTCTTTGGCATCTCACCATTTTCCCCTTCCCTTTTTACTTTGCTTGCTTCCTTTCCCTTTGTCAATCATAGTATATATTTGAATTTTTATTACATTTGCTGTAATTGTATGCTCCCTATACTTAATAGGGGGAATATAGTATTTCTCTTTTTTAAAAAACCAGTAGAGAGGGGTTGCCTGGGTGGCTCAGTTGATTAAAAGTGTCTGCCTTTGGCTTAGGTCATGGTCCCAGAATCCTGGGATGGAGCCCTGCATCGGGCTTTCTGCTCAGCGAGGAGTCTGCTTCTCCCTCTGCCCCTCATCCTGCTCTCCCTCGCTCTCGCTCTCTCAGTCTCTCTCTCAAATAAATAAATAAAATCTTAAAAAAAAAAACAAATAGAGAAACAATGTTTCTTCTTTAAGATCCTTGATTGGTAACAGCTTTCTTTCCACCCCACCCCAACTTCTTGGGTTGGTGTGCTTCTGGTAGAAAAGAGGTCATCTCTCTCTGTGCCCACAGACAGGCTAGAAAGGGGAAGAAGTATGTAAATGAGTCTTTGTCTAGGTTGAAAGTCTCTTTTTATCAATTATCCTCAGAAGCAAAGCCCTTCATAAAGCAGATAATTATCTGTTCAACAGGGATTCTAAAGAGAAGAATTCAAAGTAGCAGGGATATAAAAACAATAGTGGCTCAAGTAAATTCAGTACTTACTCAATTGAAAGCAAATATTTCAGGCATCATGGTAGGGGATTTATATGCCTTGTCACATTTAATGCTCCTTAGAATTCAGGAGAACTTTACAGGTGAGAAAACTGAAGCTCAGGCTGAATAACTTATCAGAGAGTTGGAGCTGGTAATTGAGATCTATTTGTCTTTGGAACCTGTGCTTCTCAGTTTATCTGGCGAAGTCTCAAATGGGGCTGAAATGTGCAGTACTACCACATAATGGTAGGGACTGACTAAGTCTAAGAACCATGGCATAGAGAAACCAGTTTGTATTTTGTCTTAGAAGGCAGTCACACAATGGACATCACCTTGGTGGCTTCCTGAGCAGCTGACACTTGGTTCTCTGAGAGCCCTTGGGCTTGTGCTGGTTAAACTGATTTGGAATACCAAGCAATCTTTGAATTTTAGCAGCAAGGCCTAGAAATTTCTAGAACTGGAAGGAATTACCATCATGCATCTGTATCTGGTTTATGCAGGTCCTTCCAGAACTAATAGGTAATGCTTCTGAGAACTCATGGGAAACAGTGAAGACTGATTATCAGTTCATCTTGGTTTCCACCCTTTCTCCTCTGTTCTCCAGACGAGTAAATGAGTGTGGTTTCTTGCTAATACCTCCTTCCCAAGTGAGTCAGGATGCTCTTCTTGATATTAAATATTGTGATGTCTTTCTTAACATTCACATTGAAGATATATTTGCCCGAGACAAAATTCCTATTGTCGTGGGAGGAACCAATTATTACATTGAGTCTCTGCTCTGGAAAGTTCTTGTCAATACTAAGGTATGTTTAGTTCACTTACAAGTCACTGAGGAAATGGGTTCCTCTTTCTTGCCAGCTAATTTTAGTGGGAGGAAGGTTGATTCTTGTCTGTTTCTTAAACTCAGCAACTGTAATTTTCTTACTTAATATTCTGAAGCAAATGCCACCTCCATATGTGAAGTGTGCTCCTCCAGGGTGGCCTGAGGGCAGGGGCCGTGTGTGGGAAAAGTGCTCCTCTGTGAATTAATTAGCAACTCCATGTAGGTTAACAGTTCATCAGTCTGACTCAGCATTTCTTGGCTATTACAATCTGTACATCAGTGAGATGTCCAACACTAACCTTTCTTACGGAGATGCTATTGCATAGGGTGAGAGTTTGCAAACTGTAATGTGTGGGCAATCCTGGTCCACACTGGTCACTTGCTGAGAAGACTGGACTTCTGGATATGTTAATACAGATGTGTTAGCCCTGGTTCCTGTTTATACTTCTGACAAGGAAGCAGGTACCTGAGTACTTCCCTGAGCAGTAAGTCCTCCTTTGTGTGCTGTGGCCTCACAACACTACCACAGTGTATTGGAATTTTCTGTGGTCTCTGTCTCACTATATGGCAAGACCTTCTGATTTCTCTCTGTTCTGTATTTCTAACTCCTAGCAAAGTGCCTGGCATATACACTGTTGCAATGCCTGTTGAACTGTTGAATTAAATTTACTTCTAAACCTTCTTTTAATAGCCCCAGGAGGTGGGCACTGAGGTGATTGACCGGAAAGTAGAGCTTGAAAAGGAGGATGGCCATGTACTCCACAAACGCCTCAGCCAGGTGGACCCAGAAATGGCTGCCAAGTTGCACCCACATGACAAGCGCAAAGTGGCCAGGTAAGAAAGCCTGGGCCCACTGAGCCTGAGTCCCTCTGGAGTTGGGCAGTCAGTTCTTCAGTGTGCCTAGGTAACGAGAGGGGTTTGGTAATAGCAGTTGGTGCAGGTTGGTATATTCCCAGCACACAGGTTGCAAGGCCCTGAGGTACTGCCTCAGTCCACCTCCCTCAATAAATAATTGCACCCAACTTTGTTGTTATTTTAAAATGTATAATACAATAGAGTTTTCCCTAGGGCCTAGGTAATTGCGTTTCATTTCCTATTTGATCTTTGCTTGTATAACAGTTTTCATATAAATTTTTTCTGGCAAGCAATTGGTTTATATTGTGATTTGAGTTTCATAATTGATGGCGCAATGCTGAGTTCTGCCCCAGCAGCTTTCCCAGTGGGAGGTAGATTTTATAAACTGTCTCATAGACCAACTCACCTTCACATATGGAGGCTTTCTTGAAGGGAAGACACAGGTGGTGAATGAACTCATAAGGTCATGTTTTCTTAGGGTGTTTTGAAATTGCAGCCTCGTGAGTTAAGTTTATTCTTCTGCAGTGTTGGGAGTGATACCATATCTAGCAGAGTAGAGGATCTAATAAAGGACAGTTGATTACACAGATTAAATATTATAGCACCATCTGGTATTGATAGGGATTATAAAGTATTCCACTCAAATGAATGTTCTAGATCAGTGTTTCTTTTTTTTTTTAAGATTTTATTTATTTATTTGAGAGAGAGATAGCACGAGAGGGAAGAGGGTCAGAGGGAGAAGCAGACTCCCTGCTGAGCAGGGAGCCCGATGCGGGACTCGATCCCAGGACTCCAGGATCATGACCTGAGCCGAAGGCAGTTGCTTAACCAACTGAGCCACCCAGGCGCCCTAGATCAGTGTTTCTTAATCCTTTTTCATTATCTCCCACCACCCCCCACACACCCAGAGACTTTTTAGAAATTTTTTTCCTAATTGTGCCTCCCTCCCTCCCTGTCCTTCATGCAGTTTAGTACTAAAGAATAGTACTTCTTTGGGTATGGTTCCCCCTTGGAGTGTCATACACCATTGTAATGTCTAAGGTTTTTTGCCTCCTTGAGAGCAGTATCATCTCAGGTGATAATGCACATTCTAGATAAATGAAATTTATACTTTCAGTATCCAGACATTTTATTTTAAAACATTTTAAGAGATCTTTCAAAAATTTTTGGAAAACAGGAACATTAATGATGAACATTCATTTTTATGTTGTTTTATGATGTAATTCTAGAGCTTGGTCTTTATTATCCTCTCTTTTTATTGATGAGTTTTTTCTTATCACCTCTCCTCATTTTGCTACTTCTAAACTAGTAATGAGTCAAGAATTGTGTCTTAGTAAGAGTCAGTAGCTTCTAAGCAAGTTCTAGAGTCTCTTCTTTAGAGAGGACTGGAAGACTTTGTTCATGTTTCTTTTCTTTTCTTTTTAAAGGTTTTTATTTATTTTCATTTGAGAGAGAAAGAGAGAGCACAAGCAGGGGACGGGGGGTGGAGGGGCTGAGGGAGAAGCAGACTCCCCACAGAGCAGGGAGCCCGATGCGGGACTTGATCCCGGGACTCCAGGATCATGACCTGAGCTGAAGGCAGACGCTTAACTGACTGAGCCACCCAGGCGTCCCTCGTCTTTCTTTTAGTTTAAGACTGTATCCCAACCTCCAGATAATTAAGATTATCTATTACCATGATTTTTCCTCACAGGTCCTCTTTGAGTGATCAGTGGTACGGAAAGACAGGGGGTCTCTACTCTTGTGTTAGGGTTTCAGGAAGTAGAATTGGGTCAGGGAGGGAAAGCTCACTTTCAGTCTGATGAGCTGCAGTCACCCAGAGTGGTGGAGTGTAGATTTGAGAGTTACATTACCTAGGGCTGCATAACTAATAGAGGCAGACAGAGCCGAGGGTGGCTGAAGAATAAGTATGTGAATTCTTTCTGCAGTGGTCTTTGTGCTAGTAGAGTACCAAATCAGTCAGAAGTGTTCTTCCTTAATTCTAGACCTATGTAAAAAAAAAAAAAGTTGATGAGCTGGATATACGGCATACTTTTGTACTGTGGGAAAGGCGTTCCAGCGAGACTGGACTTGCTGGCTTGTAACAGTCTCCCAAATAAGCTCTTTTACTGCTTACCTGAAGGTGAGTGAGTCCCATTCTGTTTGTGTGGAAGAAGCCTGCTGTTTCTGAACCTGAGTTTGGAAAAATTAATATATGTTTAGAAGAATAGTATTATTCTTACTTTACCTAAAATTTTCTTTGGGACTGTTTTCTGAGTAGCTATAGGATTGGAGTAACCCCAGACCTTCATGTCTTCAGGAGCTTATACAGTGAAAATGAGAAAGAGGTGTTCTATAATAGGCTCTCTCCTTGTTTCATTGGAGAACCAAATTTTCTAATGTTTTTTATGGGTGTCCCCCCCCCCGACCCCTTTAAATGACTTAGGAGCTTGCAAGTGTTTGAAGAAACGGGAATCTCTCATAGTGAATTTCTTCATCGTCAACATGCAGAGGAAGGTGGTGGTCCCCTTGGAGGCCCTCTGAAGTTCCCTAACCTTTGCATCCTCTGGCTTCATGCTGACCAGACAGGTAAAAGCCCTTTGATGCCTTAGAATACATCTGAGATAGAGCCTGCCCAGAACCATGAGTAGCTCATAATAAGCACTAAATAAGTGTTAGCTTTTAATTTTATAATTACTGTTACTCATTAACTTAGTAAGGCACAGTGCCTTTCCCCTGGGTATCTGTCTGGAAGGGGAAGAAGGGTGGCCCTGGCCCTAGGGTAAGATACCAAGGAAGGGATAAGAGGGAGATGGGTGGCGTGAGGAGGAGACTGCGGCCAGGGAAGGTCTCAAGAGAAAGAGAAGGAAGGCTCTGTGGAAGGAGGTCTGGTTCCCTGGATTGGCTGGGTGCAGGCCGCGTCACTGATTATTCCAGAAGCAGCAGGCCTCAGGAATGGGTATGATGGTTAGTTAGCGAGCCTGATTGTGGGTTTTTTTGTAAAGTCTGATAATGCCCTGTGATAGTGCTAACAACTTCTTCATCCAGCTAACAGTCAGTAAGCATTCAATGGAGTGCCAAGTAGGCTGCGTAATTTCCTGGATTTCAGAGATGAGTGTGAGACTGTGCCTGGTTTTTAGGAGCTCCCAGTCTAGGGCAGCAAACAAATACAGATACTACATTGTGATAAATGCTGGGCTAGCAAGTAGTACTGCGAGGCCACAGAGAAGGGATACCCATTTTTTTTTTTTAAAGATTTTATTTATTTGACAGAGAGAGACACAGCGAGAGAGGGAACACAGCAGGGGGAGTGGGAGAAGCAGGCTTCCCGCGGAGCAGGGAGCCCGATGCGGGGCTCGATCCCAGGACCCTGGGATCATGACCTGAGCTGAAGGCAGACGCTTAACAACTGAGCCACTCAGGCGCCCTGGGATACCCATTTTTAAGGGTAACCTATGAGCTAGGTCTGTATGTGAATGATTAAGAACACGGTCTCTGAGCCAAACCGTCTGGATTCATACTCCTGCTCCACCATCTTCTAGCTGTGTGGGTTTCAAGGCAAGTTAGTTAACCTTCCAGTGCCCCAATTTTCTCTTCTGTAAATTGGAATTGATGATAATAATAATACGTATATGTATTGAGGATTAGATGAATTACAACATACAAAGTGCTCAGAATGTGCATAACATGTGGTGAGTCCTTAATAAATACAAACTTTTTAGGAAGATAGGATAAAAGGTTACTGTTACTGCAGGCTGAGAAGTAGCAATGGCAGATAATGTAGAGCATGGTTGAAATGGTGAAAATTTGTTGTTAAAATAAATCTCAGGTGCAAGTTTATAGAAAAAGGGAATTTTTTAAATGAAATTTTTGTGACTAAAAACATATTGCAATTCATCCTAAAATAATGGAATCTGATTCATAATAAAGCTGACCACCACCTTTGGTCATAATCAAGTTTGGCCATCACATCTGAATGATTATGACCCCTGACTCTTTGCTCCTTTGTCTGGCTGTTCTTCTTGTGGCAGCTGTTCTTCTACAACTGTTCTTCTTGTGGCAGCCTGTCCATTCATCATGTAAGTGTCTAGTGGGCACCTATGACAGGCTTGCTGGTTGATGGGCTAATGTGATTGAAGTTCTAGATGAGCGCTTGGATAAGAGGGTGGATGACATGCTTGCTGCTGGGCTCTTGGATGAACTAAGAGATTTTCACAGACGCTATAATCAGAAGAAAGTTGCAGCAAATAGGTGAGGATTTGGCCATTTCTTGACCTACTCTCCCTCCCTTGCTTATGATCAAAAGATCATAAATGTAATACTGGCTTTGGATCTACTTGTTTATTAGCCTTTGTCCTTGGCATTGGCAAGGCTTGTTGGAAGGAGGTCTGGTGTACTTGTTACAGTTGCACTTTTCTAATCTCAGACATTCCCAGGAGTTAATTTTCAAGGGAACTAACCAGGGAGCTGGTGGGGGGTAGTGGAGGAAGTTTAGAGAGGCAGTAACTGCTCCGGATCTCAATTTCTCATCTGTGAGATGAAATGGCCCAGCTAGATCTTCTCTAAGGCCCCTGCTAGCTCTCAGATGCAATGGCTCATCTGCTGATGCTCTCCTGTTCCCAGCCAGGACTATCAACATGGTATCTTCCAATCCATTGGCTTCAAGGAATTTCACGAGTACCTGGTCACGGAGGGAAAATGCACACCAGAGACTAGTAACCAGCTCCTAAAGAAAGGTGTGAATTCCTCCATCTAACCTAGCCTTGGACATTCTTGGGTGGCAGAGTACCCCGCTGGTATGGTCTGAGAAAGAGTTGAGGCCAGAAGAGTCCCAAATGGCCTTCAACTCAGAATTAAGATTTTTGTCTACCAAGTGTACTCTAGTGTGCTGCTATTGTTGATTTTCTCCTCTGCTGGGCTGGGGGGGGCTTGCCTTTCGGCTTGGTCAGAACTTAGAGGTTCTTAGATATACCTTGTCTTTCAGGTATTGAGTCTCTGAAACAAGTGACTAAGAGATATGCCCGGAAGCAAAACCGATGGGTTAAAAACCGTTTTTTGAGCAGTAAGTCTTATGTTTTTCCTTAACCCCTGGGTCTGTTTCCAGTAGAATATAGATGTCCTTAGCTCACCCAGAAAAGGAATTTAGTTTCTGGACCTGTCCTAAGCTTTGGGGACCTGATCTGGGAGAGGGTCTACTGCATAAATGACTATGCAGGGATGCTTCTTTGTAATGTCTTAGAAAACAAATGAAATCTTTCCAATCAGGAGTTGAACACATGGGTGCTGGCTACAAACAGGTAAGAGCATACTAGCAATATCTTCGCAGAGTCGGTGCTCAAGGTTGACTTTAGCTTCAGATTTTGTACCTGAAGTGCAGTCAGATTTCTGTAGGGAGGCTTTCCTAATTAAAATGGTTCTCGGGTGTCTGGCTGGCTCAGTTGGAAGAGCATGTGACCCTTGATCTCGGGGGTTGTGAGTTTGGGCCGCATGTTGGTTGTGGAGATTAATAAAAAAAAAAGAAAGAGAAAAGGAAAGAAAATGGTTCTTAGGCCAGATGAACAGTATAAAAAGTCAAACCTACCCCAGTTCTCCCAGCATTGCCTTCACATTCAGGTACGTGGTGCTTCCGAGCACTGCAGCTTTGCCTTCAATTGAACAGCACTTTTAAGGAAAGGGAAGGAAATTCTCCTTCGTTTGACCTTGTTCTATGTCTTTGACACTAGATTTGGTGCTATATATATATTACTGAGCCTGCAAGGTAGGTGTTATTCTTTTATTTTTGCAGATAAGGCAATGGAGATTTCAAGAAGTTAAATATCTTGCCAAAAATCTGCCAGCTGAATAAGCAGTATTGAATGCAGGCCTGACCCCCCACCCCCACCCCCCACACTGTACTTTATAGCGCTCTTCTTGTTTCCTGGAGCTATCACTTTAGCTAGACAGCATTGATATTGGGCCTCGGGTGAGAAATTGTGTGGTTATGAGCTAAAAGGAGATCAATTTCAAGGAGATTAAGTGAAACACCAACTTTATCTTATAGGCACTTTTTAAATAGTCCTGTTTGCCTTTTGCTGTTAGACTTCTGCTTTCAGTTATAGATAAGGACAGCTGAGGCCTCCACTCTGCTCTTCACGGTCTCTGAACAGGAACACCTCGATCCATGTTGTTGACCACTGATTGCTGAAGTTCTCTCTCCCGTGCTCGCTCTCTGCCAGACCTCTCTGGGGTAGTTCTGGCACCAAGGGGCTCTTTATACTTCCTTCTACTTACCCTGCTTTCTCGGCATGTCCTGTCAGAGTTCGTGGCTTCAGCTAAAATCGAAATTGAATTGCATCGACTGAAATTCACTACTACAGATTTCTAATGCAGCTTCTCTTCTCCTCTAACAATTAGTCTGTAACAAAAGATGTTTTTTGTAATGATTTGAAACTTCCTCCTGTTGTAAAGCCACAATAACTCCCCCATCTCTGAGTCAGGAGGGATTGATGGCACACAGTGCATCATCTGCCCGTTCCTCATTCATGTGTATGCTGCCGGCTCAGTTCTGGTGCTAGAGTGAAAGGCACAGCTGCCTTGTAAACCAGGAGCCGTGTGTGATTGGCCAGGGCTAGTCTGCTGGGACATGGCTCTGGCAAGAAGCCAGAGGGACTTCCCCGCCCCAACTTGGCCTTGGACCCATGCCAGAAATAGCAGCTGGGAGCCGAGAACTTGTTGAAAGGTGCTTAGACAGGGCACAGAAGCCCAACAAAGGACTCAGAGGGGAAAGGAAAATATAGGGTGGCCTGGAAACAGGTGCAGAGCTTAGCCAAGGCCAGGTGTGCTGTGGATGCTGCCTACACCCTCCCAGTCTCACCTTTCCGTGTGGTGGCAGGTGCAGCCCAGTCCATTTTATGAAGAATCTTGCTTGTGGTTGGCACAATCAAAAGGCCAGCACCTGCCAGCCGTTGGCATCCTAAGGACTTTGATGTTTTTGTCCATGGGGAGATGCTCTTTGCCTTTAGGCAGCTGACTTGACCTAGCTGTGGGAGGCAATTTAGTGTGTCCGTAGACGGGAAGCTACCAGGAGAGACTAAACAGGGCTGGCTCCGATGGACAGAATGCCTGTGGCTGTACCCTGGGCTATCCCCAGTCACCTCTCCACTCAGAAGTATCTACCAAACGGTGTTTCTTGAACACTCCTCTAGATCTGTTTCCTAAAAGAAGGGGCTCAACTAGTTCAATTTCAAGGCTTCTTTCTAGTTCTCAGATTTAGTGGCTCATTGATATTCTTCTGTTCCCAGTCCCTGAATATCCGTATGGTATCAACAAGTTTCATGAATGCCGTACTGCGGAAGGGATATATACAAACCTGAGACTAGTGTCTGCTCCTAAAGAAAGCCGTGAACTCTTTTGCCACAAGAGCAACATCACTGTAAGATGATAGGCAACTTAGAATAGGCATTTACTTCAAGCTGTTAATTTATTTACTCCTATGATATGCTATCTTCATATTGTAGCCCATGTGGTAGTCACTAGAGCCATTACTCTGTTCTGTTTTTCTGACTGATCTGGAAGATCCTGTCTCTAGAAGTCTCTGGATTATACAGCTAGACTTGTTGGCTACAGATCAGTGAACCTTCTAGGTCATTCTTGGATTGTATGTAGTTGTTTGGTTCATATTTCTAGTTAGAATGAATGGCATGATCAGAATGTTTATTCCTTTGGCCCCCATATATTTCCTTTGAGGATTTTGGAGTCCTGGGAGCAGAATTGATTGGAGTCTTGGAGGCTGACTTCTCACAACTTCTCTTTGTCATCATTAGGACCGGGTCCCAGTGTCCCCCCAGTATATGGCTTAGAAGTATCTGATGTCTCGAAGTGGGAAGAGTCTGTTCTTGAACCTGCTCTTGACATCGTGCAAAGTTTCATCCAGGTGATTATTAATCATACTACTGCGTATTGTCTGGCTTTCAGAGAGCTTTCTTTAGCCGGCACCGTTGTTGGTAGGGAACCAAGCTTTCTTTTCCATGGAATAGAGCAGAAGAGCTGGCTGCTTTTAGATCCCTGGAGGCTGTGTTTCTACTTTCACATTTAGAAAGGTTGTTGCTAAAATCTGTCGGTAGTCCGCCTATTCTCTGGGATGAGAAAAAGGAATCTTGGGAAAATCCCAGTCTCCTTATTAATATCAGAGAATGAGATCCAAATCTCTTTGAGTCGATTGCTTTTCTCCCATCCCCCCCCCACCCCATTCTTTCAGGGCCACAAGCCTGCAGCTGCTCCAGTAAAGATGCCATACAATGAAATGGAGAACAAGAGAAGTTATCACATGTGTGACCTCTGTGATCGAATCATCATTGGGGACCGTGAATGGGCAGGTAGAATCTGGGGAAGGGCATGGAGAAATCTGTAAGGGTGGCTCACAGTGACTTCGTGAACTTTAAGGTCTTCAGTAGGTTGAATGCTGGAGTCTGCTTTTTTTTTTTTTTTTAAAGATTTTATTTATTTTTTGACAGAGAGAGACAGTGAGAAGGGGAACACAAGCAGGGGGAGTGGGAGAGGGAGAAGCAGGCTTCCCGCTGAGCAGGGAGCCTGATGCAGGGCTCGATCCCAGGACCCAGAGATCATGACCTGAGCCGAAGGCAGACGCTTAACGACTGAGCCACCCAGGTGCCCCTGGAGTCTGCTTATTTGTAAAGGGATGGCCAGCTTCCTTTAAGAGCCCCTAAGTACTCAAATTTCATGGAGACGTTCCCATTTTGGAGAGTTATCTTTGTATTCTGAATTTCAAAGGAAGATCATATGTGCTCCAACTTCAGCTAGAGTAGATATTTTATTTTATTTATGTTTTAAGATTTTATTTATTTATTTGACAGAGAGAGAGGAGAGAGAGCACAAGCACAAGCAGGGGAGCAGCAGAGGGAGAGGGAGAAGCAGGCTCCCCACTGAGCAAGGATCCCAGTGCAGGGCTCCATCCTAGGACCCAGGGATCATGACCTGAGCCGAGGGCTGACGCTTAACCAACTGAGCCACCCAGGCACCCCTAAAGTAGATATTTTGTACTGAGAGGTCTGCAGTTAACTTTCCAGAGCTCCTTTGATTTTCCTGATCCTACCTTCTAGGAGTTTCTTGGCCTTTCATGTTTAGAATGCGGTGCAGGTGAGGTGGGATTGTAAGGGATACCAGCCAGCTCACCCAAGACACCAAAGAAGCAGAAACAGCTGGGAGAGTGGGAGGAAGTGCAGTTACTCCTCCCAAGTACATTCTTTGAAAGTGGGGTCTCTTTGGTAATTTTTAAGGTAATATATTGAAATGGTGGTGATTGCTAAAGCTGTGATGAAAAGTGTTAAGAGAAGTTGTGAAAACAGGGGCGCTGGGTGGCTCAGTAGGTTAAGCGTCCGACTCTTGGTTTCAGCTCAGGTCATGATCTCAATGTTGTGGGAAGGAGCCCCCCATTGAACCCTGCACTAAGCACCCCCCCACGCATGCGCACACACTCTTTCTTTCAAATAAATAAATCTTAAAAAAGAAAAAAGAAACTGTGAAAGCAAAACTGTCAGACTTGTATAAAGAAGGTGGCCAAAGGGTAATGTCTTCTTTAAAGGTACTCCTGAGCAACCAGCATGGGCCCTGACCTAATTCTCTCTTTCGCTCTTTTAGAGCCTGGATCTGCCTCTACCACAGTCATACTGAACTCCCCTGTCAGATTCTTGTAGTCCTCTAGTCAAAGCCCAAAAAGGGCCAGGGCCTCCCAAGTCTTGAGTTTACATTGTATTTGGAAACTTGTTTAAGTCTCACTCCTTTTGAGCACAGTAAGCCTTGTAGGGACCCAGTGGCTGGAATCCTGTTCAGAGTACTGCCTTGCATGGGATTTTCCTAGAAATAGAGTTTTCTCCCCATACAAACCAATAGAATGATTAGTTCTGTTAACTGGTAACGCTGGCAAAATGAACTCCATTGTCAGAGACTGGGGATGGCTGTGATTTGCCCAAGCAGCAGAAGAAGCCTCGATTGTCATTGGTTTATAATGATGAAAGGGGAAGAGAAAGAGAGTGTCTGATTGTTTTTTCTAAAGGAAACTTAGTGGTTCGATTTGTCGAATGTCCTTCAGGGATAGCCTTAAAGAAACAACATTTGTGAGCCTTTGTGAGCTTAGCTTGTGTGAACCCTTCTATAGTGCCATCTGTCAAGTCCTTGCTCCCATCTCCTGCTGCCATGGAGAGCCAGGCCAGAGGCCCTTTTTTGCCTTAGGCTCTAGCTGGAGAATAAAGCTGACTTTTTTCCCCCAAGTAAACTTTTCTTTGACTTCTAACCTCTTCCTTACTTGTTTTTTGCTTTGAAACCCTTAAAATGATGTTTTTAATAGATATCAAAGATCATTTAATCTAGTCGTCCATCTCATTAGAGGCTTCCAAAGAAAATTTCCTTGAAAAAGAATAAGTAAAAAGAAGCTAGTATGAGTTAGAGGGTGGGAACAGTCTTTGGGGTGAGAGGTCAGAAATTGGTATAAGGCAGGGGCGCCTGGGTGGCTCAGTCATTAAGTGTCTGCCTTTGGCTCATGTCATGATCCCAGGGTCCTGGGATCGAGCCCTGGATCGGGCTCCCTGCTCAGCGGGAAGCCTGCTTCTCCCTCTCCCACTCCCCCTGCTTGTGCTCCCTCTCTCGCTGTGTCTCCCTCTGTCAAATAAATAAATAAAATCTTAGGAAAAAGAAAAAAGAAATTAGTATCAGGCAACAGTGACCTTTCAGCTTTATGGCTTCTGTGGACCCTCAAAAAGGATCGACAAAGAAGAATGCTTCCTGTTATCTCCCTGGAGCATTGTGTGCTTGGAGAATGTGAACCTTGTGGGTTAGTCATTCAGATGGCTTGTCTAACCCAGGCAGAAGGATGTCAGATCAGCAGGGGCAACCTGTGTGAGCAGGGAAGAAGTGCCAGGACAGCTCTAGGTCTCATGTGGGACAGAGCATCTGTCCTGCAATACAGACAAGGATTTGGATTTGTAACTTTTTAGCTGAGTGAGTTGAAAGGTAATCTCCCCGTACTGGAAAATTGAGTCTAGAGCCTTGATTCTGGAAAATTTGGTCTCTTTTTGAACTATAGGTGAGCTGAAGAACTTAACCTGCTGTGTGTCCTTGGACAAAATCGAAGTCCTTGGTGAACTTCGGTTTCCTTCTGTATAAAATGAGCTGAATAATACTGTCCTGCAAGATGGCTGTGAGGATTAGTGATATAAAGCACCCAGCAGGGTACACTTAATGCATGGTAGCTTGCTGGCCATATAACTTTGCCTTCCCTTAAAAATGCTAAGCAGCTATACCAGTACATGTTGATCCTGTTATTGTTAAAGAAAAGGATTGTATAGTTAATTTTGTATGCTTCTAGGATTGATTCTAGAAAGTTCTAATGAGTTGTTTTTGTTTTGTTTTGTCTTAGCACATATAAAATCCAAATCCCACTTGCACCAACTGAAGAAGAGAAGAAGATTGGACTTGGATGCTGTAGCTACTGTAGAAAATCAGAGTATTTCTCCAGACCGTGACAAAGAGCTTAAAGAGAAAGGATCCCCAGGGCAGAATGAGAAAGAGCTGAAGTCTGGTGTTTAAAGAGACAAGTCCAGTAGCCTTTGCACAGGTAGGGACCCAGTTCAGGAGGGAGGGTTATGTCTGTATCCCTGTCTGGACTGAGGAGTGCTATGCAGAAAGCCCCCACCATTTTCTTTCTTTGGTGGTATAGTTTTAAAGTCTCCTGCTCTCTGTCATGGGAACAGCAGGTCTTGTTAGCTTCTTGTTTGGCTCATGTGCCTGGTAATGATGATTTGGGGAAGGAATTTTTTTTCTTTCAACCTTAAAGGTTCTATTTTTGAAAGAGGCACAGATTGCACTTTTTAATACTTGAGGATCTTTTTGGTAATGAATACCTGAATTTCCTATATCCCTTAAAAAAAGTTTTATGTCCCTGACTCTGGCTAAAAATATCTCATTTTCAGATACTTTTATAAAAGATGACTGAAGTATTGTGAGCCACAAATCAGGAGTTCTGGATTTGGGTGAATGACAGGAAAGCCCCAGCCCCAGTGAGATGATTAAGTGACCTCAACCAGTTCTTGGAATTCCACTGAGAAGGAGAGAAGGAGGTGGTCATGACGTGGCACTTGAAAACGAGACTTTAACATTTGTTGAGGTCCTCCTGTGTGATAATTACTATCACTGCTGTCTTTCTATTGAGTTAGGA